GAACAAAAATTCCCTATAAAGTTTGAAGAAATAAAAAAATATACCTTTAAAGATCCTATACTCAGTAAAATTTTATTTTTTGTACAAAATGGATGGCCTTGTGTATGTCCAGCTGAGGAATTTAAATCATTTTTCTCCAAAAAAACAGAACTCACTGTTGAACAGAACTGTCTCATGTGGGGTTATCGTTTGGTTGTTCCAAAACATTTTCAGCAAACCCTTTTGGAGGAATTGCATAGTACACACTTGGGAGTAGTTAAAATGAAGTCATTAGCCAGGTCATATTTTTGGTGGCCGTCGATTGATTCTCACATTGAGGAATTAACAAAAAATTGCAATGCATGTGCTGTCTATGCTGATAATCCTCCCAAAACATCTTTGGCCGTGTGGGATTGGCCAAAAGAGCCTTGGACTAGGTTGCATGCCGATTTTTTTGGGCCGTTATTTAACAAAAATTTTCTAGTCATTCAAGATGCTACTTCGAAGTGGATTGAATGTTTTGAAGTCTATAATATATCGGCCACTACCACAATAAAGATTTTTCGTGAGCTTTTTGCAAGATTTGGATTACCTTTTGAAATTTGTACCGATAATGCGAAAACTTTTGTATCTGATGAATTTCAGACATTTTTGTCAAACAGTGGCGTTAAACATCTCACAGGTGCTCCATATTACCCAGCTACAAATGGGTTAGGAGAAAGCGCTGTCAAAATTATGAAAAAGGCGATTTTGAAAGCCCGACATGAAGATCCTCGGAATGACGTTCATTTGATTATAAACCGTTTTCTGTTTATGTATCGTAATACGCCGCACACCACTACGGGTGAAAAACCCTCCAAATTACTTTTTAATCGCAATATAAGAACAAAATTTGATTTAATGTTGCCTTCTACCACAAGGGCTGTTCATAAAAAACAATCTTATCAAATGGAATATTATCAAACAAGAAATAACATTTCATTTAAGGAAAATGATAAAGTGTGGGCTCGCGATTTTAGGGCTGATCAACCGAGGTGGTGTAGTGGGTATATAAGTAACGTTCTTGGCAAAAGAACCTACCTAATTCAAACTGATGATGGAAAACAATGGAAACGACATACCAATCAGCTGAGAATAAATTCCAGTAATAATCAATTGAATAAGAATGACGTTTCTATTATTCCCCTATCAAAATTACAGGAAAATATAAATTTAGAGGCAGAGGATATTGTAGAAAATCCTGATAGTAAAATAAGTAGTGATTCCGATAGCAAAATAAGTAGTGATTTCGAGCCTGAAATAAATAATGAACCAGTGGTTGTAGATAACAACGAACTAATAATTGAAAGTAGATTAAGACGGCGTAGTTAGTTACAACGCCCTGATAGATTTAATGTAGGCATGTAGCATGGTAAAATAATTATTTATTTTTCATTAAGGGAGGAGGTGTTATGTATGTATATATTTAAATATTATATTATATTTGATGATTAATATAAACAATTACTGCATGTCAACATACACACAAAACCATAAAAAGTTGTTTATATTAAAGTGGTCCTGGGTTGTTCGACGACTTGCATTCTTGCAGGTGGGTTTTGGGTTTTCAGTAAAAAATAGAATTTCACGTAGATTTGTGTCTTTTATTTATATTTGAGTTTCCTATTCAAATTAATAGCAAACTCAACACTAGGTTTATGAAAGCTAGAAGTCCCCTATAGTAAAAAATATTTTTTTCAAAATTTTCTTTTGTATCAGAATTAGGTGCTTTTTAGGTGCTCCTAAATAGTCGAAGAAAAAATAGAATTGATTAATTATTAACTGAGTTACAGATTTTTTTTTTAATTATTAAGGGACTGCTGGCTTTACGTTTATTTGTTGGTGTGTCAGAATGGCAAAAAAACTTCGGAATCTATATAATAATTAGGTGCTTTTTGGGTGCTAATTAGGCCCTCTAATCAAAAATTAGGTGCTCCTCTAGTTTTTGAGAAAATCAAAGAAAGCTAAGGGCAGGGCCGTAGCCAGGGGGGGGCATTGGGGGGCAATGCCCTATCTTTCAAATGATCATGCCTTACCTTTAAAACACAACATGCGTTGAGGTTTCTTTAGGAAATTCAAGAGTAGATAATGAATAGGCATGAAATCGAGTAAGTGCGAGAATAAGTGTTTCCGAAAAACCCCTAAATGTATGCAACAATGTTTGACGTTTGATGCTTACACAGAGGAAGTTTCTCGTTTCGAAAGAGTACGAATGCAAGGAGAATATACCTACTACACAGGATTGCTTATCGGCGTTTGTGGAAATCGCGGCCATATGGTGCAGCACCATCGACGACATCATCAACTACGTCGTCAGCTAGTTACACCAGCGGTCGTAGTTTAGCATATACATTCATGATGAAAAATGCTATTTAATTTTGATTAACATAATCAGTGGCATAGCTATCGTAGGACAGTTAGGTACGGAGCACCGGGGCACGGTGGTAAAGGGGCCCCGAAGCCACGCGCAAAAATTTGTACAGAAAATATAGGTACCCATTAGCGAAAATTCACAGCGGCGTCAAGCCGGTTATCGATCGATCATTGTCGATTAATCGCTAATTTTCGACTAATCGATTATATACAAGTAATCGATTATTTTCGATCAATCGATTATTTTTGATTAATCCTTAAATTCAAATTCATCTTTAAATTTTTCTGTAAGAATAGTTTTTTTTACTTATATGTATTCATGTACTTTGGAATATTATTTTTATCCTTTCTTTTTACTTGTTGCATGCACATGTTAGATTAGGTCTGAATTATATTTTTATCACTGTTAAAAAATAGCACTGCTATCAATAAAATAATCGATTATTATTCGATAAATCGATTATTTTTCCCACCCCTACTATTTAGGAACACTTGAATAGTATCTAATTCCTATCCAGAAACATTTTAGCCTCTAACACACCACCAAATAAACGCAAAGAAAACAATCTCCTAATATTGAAAAAAAATCTGTAATTCAGTTAATAATTAGATGTTTCAAATTTTTCTTGGACTATTAAAAACACTTAAATTGCACTTAATTGCAACACATTTTAGCCACTGTCATCAGATTCATTGCAAATACACCTTCCAGTAAACGTAAAACCAGCAGTTCTCTAATAATGAAAAAAATCAGTAATTCGGTTAATAATTGACTGATTCAAGTTTTTCTTCGACTATTTAGAAGCACTTAAATAGCACCTAATTCCAATATAACATATTAGCCACTGACATCGGATTTGTTGCAAATACACTCCCTAGTAAACTTTAAGCCGGCAGTTCCCTAATAATGAAAAAAATCTGTAATAGCACCTAATTCCAATACAACATTTTGACCACTGTCACCAGATTCGTTGCAAATACACCTCCAAGTAAGCGTAAAACCAGCAATCCCCATTCCCCTAATTATTGAAAAAAATCTATAATTCACATCGTAATTCAGTTAATAATTGACTAATTCAAGTTTTTCTTCGACTATTTAGAAGAACCTAAATAGCATCTAATTCCAATATAACATTTTAGCCACTGTCATCAGATTCGTTGCAAATACACCTCCAAGTAAACGTAAAGTCAGTAGTCCCCTAATAATGAAAAAAAATCTGTAACTCAAAAAAGCACCTAATTCTGATACAAAAGAAAATTTTGGAAAAATATTTTTTACTATAGGGGTTTGCTAAACCTTTCATAAACCTAGCAATCTCTTAGTTTTTTTTTTTGATTTTCTCAAAAACTACAGGAGCACCTAATTTTTAATTAGAGGCCCTAATTAGCACCTAAAAAGTACCTAATTATTATATAGCAGTCCCCTACTAATTACAAAAAAATCTGTAACTCAGTTAATAATTAATCAATTCTATTTTTTCTTGGACTATTTAGGAGCACCTAAAAAGCACCTAATTCTGATACAAAGAAAAAATTTGAAAATATATTTTTTACTATAGGGGACTGCTAGCTTTTATAAACCTAGCAGTCCCTTAGTTTTTTTTGATTTTCTCAAAAACTAATGGAGCACCTAATTTTTAATTAGAGGCCCTAATTAGCACATAAAAAGCACCTAATTATTATATAGTTCCCGAAGTTTTTTTCCACCTTGGGACTGCTGGGTTTGTAGACCTTTTGTGAATTCTGCGTTTCTTGAATTCTTGTTTGAAACCTGGTTATGGCTCATAAAAATTATCAAAATTCGAGAATTTTGAGTTCCACGTTCTTGAATTGGTTTCCTCAGACAGAACAGAAACCATTTAGGAAATCAATCTTGGAAAAAAGTATAAGGAGTAATGGAAATAAAGAAAATTTCAAGAAATTGGAATAAAAAAAATAGAAAAATTCAATAACCTGCGGGATAAAGGAATAAGGATTTTTCCTCTTCATTTCCGATTTTTCATCAAACGGGGAGTTTTGAAAAGATGCAATTGGTTTCCAGAAGTTTGTTAAAACTTACTCCCATGTAATTTTTTTTGTATGCCTCTCCAAAACCGCCGAAAGTCATACCTATACTTATGAAGAAGTGTATTCTGGATTTATCCGAACTATAATTTGAAACCAATTGTACTGAAGTAGGTACTCTAATAAACCAAAAAAAAAGTTAGAAATAAAAAAACATTATATTCGCATCAGGAATGTTACGGTTAATGGAAATAGTCATATCAATATTCTTTTATTCCTGAGGAAGATTGAATAATGAATCAAAACGTCGACATAGTGGGACAATTCCATTATGTTGCCATTAAATTTGATGCCGTTTAGTTTTTCATTGTACATGGTCTTTTTCCTATAATATATAATTATTTTTATATTTTTTCGCTGTTTTTAAGTAACTGAGTAATAGTGGTCTATAAATAAATAAAATAATAATTTATTGTTATTATATAAAGTAATCTGTCCGCAGACAATAAGATATTTATTGACTGTTTATAAATTTATCCAAAATTTAATCCTAGGATGGATTAAAATGTATAAACGTAATTTAATTAACTAAGCCCCGGTAAGTATAAAAACACTGTGCATTAATGAAAACATTCAGTGGCATCTAATTTGCAAAAAATGAAATTCGCCATTGTCTTTGTAGCCTGTTGCCTTCTTGGCGCATTTGTTGCTGCAGAAGAAGAGCATGTAAGTACCTGCCTAAAAAATCTTTGAACGCTAAATCCTTGTGTTGCATAGGAATTCATTGACTGGCACCACCTCAAACCTTTGAACCTCCACGTAGAGCCCATTGGACCAGTTCCAGAATCCACTGGAACCAGAATCATCGGTGGATCCGTTGCCCCTCGCAATGCTTTTCCTTACCAAGTGGCCTTAATCATCAACAACAGCGGTTTTTGCGGTGGTTCCATCATTAGCAGAAATTGGATATTGACTGCTGCTCATTGTGTTGACACGTAAGTATCAAACAAATTCATATCATGCAATTATTTTTTACAAATATTTCTAGTGGTACCCGATTCCAAGTCATTGCTGGTGCTCATAACCCTTCCACTAATGAACCATCTCAAGTGAGAATGGCTGCCAAATCTCGCGTTGTTCACTCTGAATGGAACCGTTCTCGTCTACAAAACGACATTGCAGTTCTTGAGGTTCCCAACATTCCAATCGGAAAGCCGGGAATTGATAGCATCAGGTTGGCTCCATCTAATGCTGGCACTTATGCTGGATCCAAATCTGTACTTTCTGGATGGGGTAAGAACCGATTGGATTGTGTCTACTGCAAGTAATATTATTATGTTTTCTAGGTAGAACCAGTGACGCAAGTACTTCTATAGCATCTAAATTGCAATACGTCCATTTGTCAATTATCACCAATCGGGTTTGCCAGAACTCTTTCGGTTTGAACGTAAGAACCACAAACATTTGCACTTCTGGAGTTGGTCGAGTGGGTGCGTGCAATGGTGACTCTGGCGGCCCGTTGGTAGTTGATGGTGTCGAAGTTGGAGTGGTTTCTTTCGGCAATGGAAATTGCGAGCGTGGATCTCCTACCGTATACGCTAGAGTTTCGTCCTACAGAGCCTGGATTAAACAAAATACTGGAGTATGATTATTGAACAAGGATGTTACTTTCATTGATATCTAAATAAATAATTTGCAAAAATGTTTTCATGTTTTTCAATATGCATACCCAAAAATCATTAATGCTCAAAATACCTACTAAAACGACAAAGAAGAAAGTATAATAAATTCGATTACAAACCAAAGTTTGATGGCTTTGAAATTTAGGTAACCCAAATGAAAAGGTGAATGTTAGTTAAAATTTCAGCTTATCTACCCATACCAAATTCTTGGGAAATTTATAGAAACTTGGTCTTTATGCCAGACAATAATTAGCATCTAAAAGAATTAAACGCAAAAATAAAGAAAATGGTAAGAACCAAAAGAATTGTAGGACAATGAATAAGAAAAATAAACTAAAAAAAAAATGCACAAGAGGAAAACCAAAGATATTCTCTAGAAATTGGTAAGGATTGAAACAAAACTCGAAATTCAAGTTGAAATCTAGACTCAATCACTGCTTATAAAGTATCAAGCGTAGCCTCAAATTTACCTGTTTCAAGTTTTCATTTGGTTTATGGACCAAAGTCTCTTCACAAAAATCCAGCCAAACGCCAAATTGTATTATTCATGTCCTTTCAAGGAAACTGGCTATTACAATTTATTGTTATTACATCCGATAATGAGATATTTATTGCCTGTTAATAAATTTATCTAAAATTTAATCCTATGTTTAAGGTAATTTGATTTACTAATCCCTAGAAGATTTTTGGTGAGTATAAATACGCTATCCTTCAATAAATAAAATTAGTTGCTTCTGAAAAAATGAAACTTGTTATTGTCTTTGTAGCTTGTTGCCTTATTGGCGCATCTGCTGCTGCAGATGAAGAGAATGTAAGTACTTTGCTGGAAAAAATTCTAAGCTCTAAGTCCTTTGTTGCAGAAATCCATTGACTGGCATCATATCCAACCTTTGGGCATTCACGTAGAGCCCATTGGACCAGCCCCAGTATACACTGGAATCAGAATCGCTGGCGGATCCATTGCCCCTCCCAATTCTTTCCCTTATCAGGTGGCCCTAATCATCAGTAACGCCGGTTTTTGCGGTGGTTCCATTATTAGTAAAGATTGGGTATTGACTGCTGCGCATTGTGTTGAATCGTAGGTAACAACCAACCAAGATTACATGAATTTATTTTCGACAAATATTTTTAGTAATAATCCTGTTCAAGTCATTGCTGGTGCTCATAATCCTTCCGCTACCGAACCATCTCAAGTGAGAATTGCTGCTGAATCTTGCGTTGTTCACCCTGGATGGGACCTTACCCGTCTCGAAAACGACATTGCAGTTCTCAACGTTCCCAACATCCCAATCGGAACTCAGACAATTGATAGCATCAGGTTGGCCCCGTCTAATTCTGGCTCATTCGCTGGAGCCATAGCTGCACTTTCTGGATGGGGTAAGAACCAATTATGTCCACTGCTGCAATATTTATATGTTTTAAATTGACTTAGGTAAAACCAGTGATTCAACAAGTAGCCCTGCAATCGCTTCCGAATTAAGAAACGTCACGTTGTCAATTATCACCAATCAAGTTTGCCAAAGTTCTTTCGGCTCATACGTTAGAGAAACAAACATTTGTACTTCCGGAGCTGGTCCGAAGGGGGCATGCGATGGTGACTCTGGCGGTCCGTTGGTAGTTGATGGTGCAGTAGTTGGAGTAGTTTCTTTTGGTAGCATGGATTGCGAGGATGGAGCTCCTTCCGCATACGCTAGAGTTTCGTCTTACACAGACTGGATTCAACAACATACTGGAATATAATTAATTGATACCTAAATAAATAAATTGTATTTAAAAAAAATGTCTTCATGTTTCCCAATATGCATCAGACGATAGAACAGTTCAGGATACTGATCTAATAAAAACAAAAATAACTAATGACAAAAAATTGGAACAAGTATTCGTAGCAACCTGTGGTACGCTTACCTCATATCAACTGCTGGCCCTGCGCCGAGGGCTGCTATCCCGACTCTCGAGCGGCGTCGCCGGCTCAAGTACTCTATGCCACATCCTCCCTTTTCACCAAGTGAGTGTCTTTTTAGCTTAGCACTCGAGTATATTAATGTTATGGATACTTATACTACACACTTATTCACTATATACACTGTACGATGTTCATTCTAACTTTTGTTTTACCTAATCTTCACAAACATTCCATTGTAGGTGCAACGATGTGCCGGCTTGGCTACTATTCCTGATGGTGGTGTATCTCTGGTGAGTGGAGTTATAGACTTCGGTCTTGTCCTCGGAGCCTGGCTCGGATATTATGGAGTGGTTGGAGTCGTTGTCACACTCGGAGCTATTGCTTTCAATTTCTGACGTCCACTGCTTTGTGATGCGATTGAACGGACTGAACCGTATTCTGTGTTCATATCATTCCCTCCATCGTCACCCTTAGATTCTGAGCTTGACTCATCATTGCAACTTTCGGGGAGTTCCCAATTGGCCATCTCTAGTCGAATATTTGTTCCTTGCTCTAGTCTTATCATCGCTTCTGAGGTTACTTTTATAACTTGGCTTCCTGTTTCGTTTGATGACGTTATTTTCTTCGGCGATAATGTATGTTCTAGGTTCAGGTCTAACACCCATTACTTTCCCAAACATTTTCATATCGGGTATCCAAACTTTATCGTTATTTTTCAAGGTGGAATTTGATATTGCTCTATGTCGCTTAATAAAATTCAATGTTTGTGTAGTTCCACTTAGAGATAACTGTCTTTGATAGCTGGAATTGAATTCCTAGGTTTTCTTCCCATGATCAGCTAGTGAAAATCCACTCTCTAGTTTTGCTGTTCTATAACTTAACAGTCCTAAGTTTGGGTCTTCGCATTTTAGAATTATATTCTTGGCTATTTTTACAGTGGGTTCTGCCTGTCCATTTGATTGAGGATACCTAGGACTGCTTGTGATGTGACTGAATCCATATGTCTGAGCAAATTGTTTGAATATGTGGCTAGAAAAACAAGGCCCATTATCTGATCGAATGGTCTCTGGTATTCTCCATCTTGACAACATGGGTTTCAGTTACGTTATGACATCTACAGCAGTTTCTGAATTCAAGTTGGCAACCTCTATAAATCTTGAGAAATAATCGACTGCCACCAGATAATGACGATCTGCCAGGGGTAATCTGGCACAGGGGAAGGAATCATTGGTTCAATTGTTGTATTCCTGTATTGAATGCATGTTGAGCAATTGGTTACAATTTCTTTTATTTGTTTTAAGATTTTGGGCCGCAACACCGTTTCATTCGCTAGGCTTAAACATTTCGTCATGCCCAAGTGACCCTCGTTCGTTTTGTCCAATATTTCCTCGCGTAATGTCATCGGGATGAATACTCTGTTGTTGCGGGTTACTAAGCTATCCAATATAACCATCTCTCCTTGATATTGGTAGAAAATTTTATCTTCGGTTGCTACATCCCTAATGTGTGGCCAACCATTTTGCATATAAGTTATTATTCTTTTGGTTTGGACATCATTCTTCTTACATTCCAAGATACTTTTTATGCGCATTTCCTTGACAGGCATTGATTCACGAATATAATTTGCAAAATCTTCCACTTTTTCTATGAGTTCGTTGACGAATAAAATATCATCAAATGAAATCGTTTTTAGGCACTACCACCATTGGTGCATACCAAGGGGTTGGCTCTTTAACCTAGTAGATTATTGATCGGCTTTCTAAAATGTTTAATGTTCTTGCGTAGCTTCTCGCAAATGGATAGGAACTCTACTTGGCGTAGAAATTGCAAACGGCTTCGTTCCTTCTTTTAAAGTTATGTGATACGTTTCTCCTACATGTCCGATGCCTTCGAATTAGGATTTCACGATTTTCAAGAAATTTCTTGTTCTTGACTTGATCTTGACTTGAATTCAAAAAAATTTCAGTCAAGAAATCTGAAATTGTTTTCAAGACAAGTCAAGATTCCCTATTTCAAGATTAAGCAAACTTTTTAGCCTTTTGCCCGAGGCAAAACAAAGAAAAAAAAACTTTTTGGTGGAGACTCACTCACTGCCAATTTTCTTGATTCTTAAAATCTTACTATCAAATCAACTGCTGCATGTTATCTCTCCTTTTTTCTGATTGTAATCTGCTTAAATATTACTCAATTCCCACCAAAAATCTGTTACGTGGGCGGTCATTTAGCATTTCTCGAACCAATCCTCTTATTTGACCTCGTTTATCGAGTGATAAACGACATTGTTGTTTTCCATGAATTGTTTTTTTTTTAAGTTTTTACTCAGGATATGATGCAACATCCGGCGGAAACACCGGTGTTGTAGTTTATCAGTTATGACGCCATTAAATCACATGTGTATAGTGATTTCCGGTTAAACGCGTCCTAATTTTATAATTTTTTATTGACTTTTTTTATCGGAATGTTGCAAGAGTCTATTAATTGGAGATATCGAACTCTGACATCCGGTCGCTTATCACTTGTGATGGTAAAAAATTGTTATGTGATTTGAATTGAGCTTAGAAATTTCGTCATTTTTTATTTATACTATTTTTATACGGAATTAGATGCTAGGAGATTTAATAGGTTGAGATTAAATTATCTTGCAACTGACCTAGGTACTTTTCTAATTAAAATGACTACAAAAATGCTTTTACCTATTGAGTTTAGTTATATTTTCTGGGATTTTAGCACCTCGACATTTTTAGGGTCGTCACAGTAATATAGAAGGTAATTTTGGTTAGGTACTCTGATTCAATCCAGTATTCGCTTCCAGATTCCTCAAACACAGCCTTCGAATTTTAATGGCCTACCAGCCTGAATTCCTGCGAAATTTTGGCATCACATCCCTTGTTCGTTATTCGAGTGGGACAATTTTTATATTCTGCTACTGTGATGACACTTAAATACTTTCTTGAACTCAAACTTTTTCAGTGATGGGTAAGTATATCGAACAATCTAGTTTATTGCGAATCCAATCGTCACACCATTCACTATTCGTCTTATCTTTATGATGAGCCTTATTGCTTCTTATAATAACACTGTCATTGTAACTAACGGAATTATAACTTTCAATTACATCCTCTTTGTGGATAATATCCTTTAAAAAATTTATATTTGGTTCTATCTGAAATTGCGACTTCAAGGATGTTTATATGAACACAGAGTATTGTAAAAAGTAACCATAAATGCAGCGAACTAAAATGCACATGGCTGGCTTAACAACTGCCGCCAATTTTTGTTCGCGTTTTGAAATGGAATGGCGGCGTTCTGCATCTCATTGTATACTGCTGCAAAAACTCTGTATCGCGGTATGATTTGGAGTAGCAATAGGCATGTATTGTAACTCCATATCCTACTATGGTATAGAGTGACGTCCATCGTGGTATGATTTAGAGTAAACATACGCGCCTTTCACATATACAAATCATACTACGGTATAGAATGGCATTCATCTGTATAATGGTATAGAATGTAAATACGCGATCGGGATACATCCATATTTATGAGGGTATCTCAGTATTTCGTTCCTATACAAGCTGGTGGAAAAAGACACGAACACACTCAGTGCGCACTATATAACCCTTCCAATAGAACCGAGTCACTGGGAGTACACGGAGTGACCAAGCCGAACCCAGCTGCAGACCAAAGCGTTCGTTTGAACTCCAAATGATTTGAAAGATGTTGAATAGCGACTCCAAGCAAATCTTCCTGATTTTTCGAGTAGATAGAGCAAGTACAAATGAACAGCCTAAAGCTCGGTTATGTACCAAACTTACCCGTCCTCGTAACGACTGCAAGACTTCCGTTGGTATTTTAGAATAGGCTATTTTTCACGACATAATTTTTCCAAAGGTTATGTTCGATTATGTTCAGTAATATGAGGATTACCCAATGACATTTGGATTTCCCTATTACCCAACATAGTCAAACATAATCTTTAAAAAAATTATGCCGCGAAAAATTGCCTAATGACACAAATGGGGCGATCCCGTCAGCCAGACGCGTACTCGGACAGCACAGCACGGTTGCCAAATGCCAAGCACGGCCGAGCAACAAGCAATTTCAAGAAATTCCAAGATATCTTGAATTCAAGTCAAGACTTTTGCTTTCAAGAATCCATCGAGTCAAAACATGTTCAATTTCTTGATCTTGAATTTCAAGTCAAGTCAAGAAATTACGTTCAAGTCAAGATTTCTCGTCTTGATGAAATCCTACTTCGAATAGGGTTGGAAACTCCTTACTGATAGCATTCGTGTGCAGAGATCGCATTTTTCCAAGCTAATATATCCTCAGTGATTCTACAGCGTCTCTTCCTAGTAAATTTTTATGCAAATTATTTGCAATATAAACACGGCCTACGTAACATTGATTTTGCCACGCAATGGACGGTTCAAAGGTGCCTAAAACCTCGATTTTATTTCCAGAGGCAGATATTAGGATTTTCTGTGAATCGACAAGTTTGATATTTTTCAAATTTGACAAACTGTCGCCTTTTATTACGGTCACATCTGCTCCAGTGTCAATTTTTTGACTTTTACTGGAATTCCATCCATGGAAATCACGGTATGCCATTGACCAGCCCTCCTACCAGCTTTTACCAAACCCAGAAAATGTAATTCGTCATCGCTCAGGGGGGGAAAAGAAGCAGAGTTCTGAGCAATTTTCAATGAAAAATTTATTCTTCGCCGGTCCTGATCGCGTCTGAAGCCTCTTCACTTCTTGAACTGCTACACTTTACCTCCCAGTGTCCTGTTTCTCCGCACCTGTTGCATTCATCCTTTCTTGCAGGACAATCAACTAATATGTGCCTTGGAGTTCTTCTAAATCTTTTGTCTCTGTGTTTGATTTTGGGTTTTTCTCATAATTTGAGTTGCCCTTGATGAATGATTTTGAGCGCGCCCCC